CACTTCAAGTGTCTTGTTTCCAGATAGAATCAACATGAAATTTAAGACACTTTTGCCACATGCAAACACCTGCGTTGACCAGGTCACAAATCTGCAAATCATGCTACAAATCAGGATCTGCCTTTATCCTTTATCTCATCAATAACCTAAAATAAACACATGAATGAACCACATTTATGAATTACTGGCAAAACATAAGTTTCATCATCTTCGCAGGCTTTTACTCACCGATACAGATAAATGCTCCCTCACCCACACAGATCGTTCAGTGGTTGAACTGATCAGAGATCAGAGAAACGCTACAGAGGCTCAGTGCACCTTATGTTTCAAATCGCTAGAGACATTTTTCCTTGTTGCTTTAATGAGACAGAGAACAATGGCTAATTTCAGTGTAATTTCAGAGAAAGTTTAGCAGCAGATATCACAAAGAGAGAAGAGAGAGACCATGGATGTATTAAGAAAATCAGACAATGAGTGTTATTTCCACACACCGATTACTGACACAGTTACACCATAGGAAAGAATGCATACGAGTCTTGGAGAGATGAATTTACACCTTTTGGTTGGTTTGGGCACTAGCATTTCAATCTTTTTTGGATGCTTCTTGGACTGCGTCCTGGGCCACACTGAAGGACCGCCTACTCCACTGACGTCCTCTACCACAGTCTGACTGGTACAGCCACCATTTCATAATAATCTGAAAATATTTTATTATTTCACTCTCTCTTTCTCTCAAACACATTGACAATGGACTTGTCTGTCATAGTCAGACGGGCTAAAAACAACAACACATGCGTTTATTTGCATATAGAACGGGGAAGTGAGATCCGATCACTGGAGACGCATGTGGAGACAAATTCTAATGGCAGGTTTGAGCTGACGTACTTACAGCTGACCACTTGTGATCTGATCACCGAAGACACATCTTAAAGCCAGGTCTGAACAGGACCATATCGCAGGCCCGTGATGCACCCCAGACGAACGGGGTCCTATTCTTGTTAACAGCGATTCAGTGATTTCTGACTTATGATACAACGACAACACTTTCACTGGAAACATTTTGACATGTCACATGAGGAAAAGCACAGGTGTAAATAATAAAATGAATGCTGGCTAAATTCCACTTAGCTGCCTCAGTTCCAGGGTCCTGGTGTTACTCATGCTGGCTCACTGTGACAGTTTACTGGGACACAATAACTGTGTTATCATTAATGTTTTTAGTATCACATCTGTGCTTTTCTTGCCAAGACAAGTTAAAACATCCATTGTGAAAGGCCTTTGTAGATACGAGATGATTAGCCAATACCAATAGCTAGTTTCTTGCTTCTTTTCAGCATCTCTTTCATTCTAAAACCGATTTTATTGATTTAAAACAAAAAGTTTTGTCAATATGGAAAAAGTGGACCAACCCTCAACTCATCTTACATGATAAGTAACCAGAATTATGACCTTGTGACAGTCTTGGGTCTCTCTCTGGCAGGAAATGACATGGGGTAACTTCCTCTTTCTGCTCTTAGAGTTTCCACGTAGGCGACAAATGACCACCACTAGAAGAAAAGCTGAACACAGGAAAAACGAGAAAGAGAAATCTCTACCTGCTACTCAGGTATTCAGACACACCCACAGTCCACAGAAGACAGCTTTGTCACACAGACACACATACAAAATAGTTTCTTTCACAGAAACACACACTCATATGCCTACATGCCAGAACACGTCTACACCAGATGTGTGACATTCCTCCTAACCAAGACAAAAGTTGCTGATTTGTGGGTATGTGTGGCTGTGCACCTCCCATTTATACTGAACTGTCTCTACATCCTTCTTGTTCCTCCTGTTCCCTTTCAAGACACCACTGTTCACACAATCCTCAGTTTCTCATTTACAAATCTCCCACTTTATTCTCACGTTAGGTAGGATTATAAGCAAAAAATAAATCCACTAACTGCATATTTGGACACATTTCAAATGACTCACAAACTGGTCCAACAACATATAGGTTAAAAGCTGGCTATCACCGCTCTTTCAACACATTTAAATCACTATAGTTCACTGTGAAGCAGATCTCAACAGCAAGTTTGATACTCATCAAAAGCTGTTTAAACAACACCTGAAAAGCACTTTCCAAACAAAATTTCTCTAGTTTTAACATCTTATGACCTGCAAGTCACCAAATCAGTGCCATCTGCCGCAACATGTTCAAATAAGCCTCGACGCTAATCTAATAAAATAGGACTCACACGCTCAATTTCACTGTTTTCTACCTGTCAAAGTCTCTCTGGCATTGTCTAAAAGGCTGTTTCACAATTAAAATTTTCAGTGTGAATCATGTCATAACTATTGAAATACAGTCGATGAAAAGACATGTCAAAAAAACATCAAAACATGTTCTGGTCACAGAAATCAGTCATCATAACATTGCATACACATTTCAGGTAACGTATTTGTGTTATTTTATTAGATTGTGTTATTTAGTTTAAATAAATTCTGCATCACATTGCAGGAGAAAGAAAAGCAGCTGCTTATACTACTTTTATTCTGGTTTCACCATCTCAAGGATTTCTCCAACTTGAGTGTTTTGTATATTAACAGTGTTTGTGCATCATCCATGTTAAAAAAACAAACTATTTAAATTTATATTATATTTTAATCTTACTCAACAATATACTTTAGGGCTACTTCTTCATATCATGCACTGCATTGTAACTGCACTGCATTTTTTTATTGTCCCTTTTTTATCTGTTGTATTCTATTTTATCATCTATTTTGTTTTAGTCTTTTAAATCCCATTTAAATTTGTCTTTTCATATTGCATTGTGTTTTTTTCTCAATGCGTTTTATGTCTTATCTAAAGCACTTTGAATCACCTTGTTGTTTAAAGGTGCTATACAAATAAACCTGCCTTGCCTATAAACCTTACTATACAACCCTCCAGTTAGGTCAAGATAAGGGAAAAAATGAATTACAATATGTAGGCATATATATTTTAAAATGAATGGGACTCACAAGCTGCTCTTAACTACATGCAAAGCTTTCCTTCAACCTGCACATCACCAATATTACATAATATTTACTGGGTACTTGAGGTGACGATTTGTGTGACCCATATTTGGAAATTACATATAGCTTCACTGGGAACACTGAACATCACAAGCAATCTTTTGACCTGTTGATAAAAGCTATAATATTTCCTCATCTAAATCTATACTGTTTATTCATCATTAAATTAAGGTCCATTCTCCACTGCCACCAAAAAAAACAACAACAACAACTCACTTTACAATCAAATTTAGACAAAATTCTTAAGCAGAATTTATTTAGCTAAATTGAGAATATTGTAGACCTGAAGCTAACGATTATTTTTGCTATCAAAATCACATCCTAGAGCCCAAGGCGACTTTGTCAAATGTGTTGTTGTTTTCAGAACAACAGTTCAATATCAGATTCAATAGATTCAATATATTATAATGTAAGACTGAGAAATCCATTAAGCTTTCACATCTAAGAAACAAACTTGTGGAACCGTCGCTTGAAAAATGGCATAGTTGACAATTAGTCTTCTATAAATCAAGAAATTGATCAATTGTTGCATCTCTACCAAATTTAACCTAATTGTTTTCCAATTTAGCTCCATGACAGCTGGGTAAACTCATCCATGGCATGTGTTTAAAAGAAAAAAAGCAAGTAAGTGGACTTTGAGTTGCAGTTTTTTTTTTTTAATGTAGCCCAGCATTAACCTTGGTGCCTACATTTCAACCTGCAAATGACTGTATTATTGCTTACTGGGTAGTTTGTTTGATTGATTCAGTGTGACCACTGATCACTGACTCACAACATCACAAGCAACCCTCAGACCACTTTGTTGCATAAGAGGTGGTCTGTAAATGTAAGAGTTCTCAGTTAATTCTAGGAAACTCACCACGAAACCCGATCTGACAGCAGCTCTACCTGTCCAAGGCTCTGATTGGTGTGAGCTTACTAAACTGTGTGTGCATATGTGTTATCAGCTCTGGGTAATTCACCACACACTAGTTTAGTATTAGTCCAGGAGGCTGTGTACATTCACTCACGCACATAAAGTGTTCATACTTTCTATACCCCCAGTGCATTTCCTGTATCGCCACCAGAGCTGTTGACAAGCCAATAGCCTGCAGACACGAGGGGACTTCAGCTTTTTACTGCTCATGAAAATAACACAACCTCACACACAAATTTTGCACAACTCTTCCCGATTACTGAAGTCTTACACAAGAGTGTAAGAGTGTGGAAACTTTAGCCACTTTCTTCCTGAACCTCACATGGCTGGTCACATGACTCAAGCCTGATGAGTTGAGGTGGGTGTCTGAGATGGATCAGTGAAGAGGAGGAAGTGATACTGTGAGCACAGCGACGAACATTTGCTGCAGTACAGTAGCATGTATGTGATTGAGGGATGTCACTATGTTGCTGCAAGGCCCTGTTTATGAAACCATTTTGTGCAGAGGTCCGTGTCTAGACACCCACCTACCCACTCACCACCACCACGACCGGCCGCCCACCCATAGACACACATCACCACCAACCCACGCACAAACTCGTTATACAAATCCAATCAAATGACAGGCTGTGAGTTAGGGGAGATAAAAAAGCTTGAGAAATCTAACTTCCTGGTCTGTCTTCCTCCCATCTCTCCTTAGCCAAAACCAGGCATCTCAGCTTTCACCACTCCGCCGACTCTTCTACTCTTACATCTCACAATGTCTCTTCAGCCCAAGCCTGTTCGAAGATTCTCACTCTCATTTATCACTGTTGGCAAGCACCTGCTTTGAGTTTGACACCTGCCTGCCAACACCAACACGCCGTCAACGAACGAGCCAACAGGTCACTCTTAACAGTGTGCAGACCTGCAGCCCTGAAGACAACAAATACACACAGACACACTCCTTCAGACAGTGAACATCCGTCCACACACCCACAGCCATATGCAGCAGCGGGATTTGTGAATAAGCTACTGCTCTTACCTTGGCACTGGAATCCCTGTTTCCCAAAGCCCCTGTGGACAGAAGACAGGCGTGTGAAATTTGGGGAAATCACAAGATGACAAAAACTCACGCACATGCATACAGATTAAGGGGTACAACTAATGATTGTTTTTTGGGTTTTTTTTATCAATTAATCATTAAAAACTGATGACATTTTCAGATATCTTATTTTGTTCACTGAAAAATCCCAAATATCCAGTTCACAATGACATATGACGAAGAATAGAAGCAAATCTCCTCTGAGAGGCTGAAATGTGCAAATATTTGGCTTTTCTTTTTCTGATGAGAATGAGAATGAGAACTGACTGAAATGATTAACTAATTATCAAAATAGTGCCCATTGTTTTTTTGTCAATGGACTAATCAATTAAACAACTATTCTTTCAGCTATAACGCAGATATCCAATCACACATGAACACACAGATCAACCCACACAGCTGCCGCAGCAACAGTGGGGCCCTGTGTCTATGTGTCTCCAGCTGCATTCCTCCACCAGACCTCCAGTTTCAGAGATGGGTGTCGGGTCGATGCGGTAACGCCGAGCAGCAGCCACTGTTGTGCGGCTGCCTGACAACGCATCCCCCGACAGGCCCGCGGAGCTGTCGCATTATAGAGCTGGGGGGAATGGCGCATCGCGGTGTTTTTGACAATGACAATGAATGAAAGACTGCGGTGTCTGGCCACTGTCAGTGTGGAATAAGGCCGATCGGAGCCGCAGCAGCAGCAAGTGAATCACCTGTGTCCTTTCCCCTCACACACACACGCGCGCGCGCGCGCAACCACACACACAAACACAGGCAGAGACACTCACCAGATGAAGTCCGTGCAGTGGCTGCAGAAGGTGGGCTGCTTGAAGAAGCGCGCGATGAACTTGTGGTTCTTCACCTCGTGCACATTCTTCTGGCGGAGGGCTCCCTGACGGGCGAAGCCGCGCGCGCTCTCCGGTACCTCTCCGTCGCTGTTGGGGTCAGCCATCTTAACGAGGAAGCGGCGGCGGTCCGAGAGGAACGAGGGGTGAGGAGAGCTGAAGAGCGAGAGGGAGAGACGACGGAGGCAGCGGGGGAGAACGAGTCGCGGTGCAGGTGCCTCCTCCTCCTCCTCTCCGCCCCTCTAGCCGCCTCGGTGTCGCTCGTGCCGCCGGTGTTTTGTCGGTCTGCGTCCAGCTCGCGCTGAAGCTGCTGCTGCTGCTTCTTCCGGCGGGTCCCCGTGCCGCGCGCCTGCTTCCCTATTCTCACCAATGTGTTACTGCTTACAACTCTCTGTCTCTCTCACTCTGTCTCACTCTCTCTCTCGCTCTCTCTCTCTTGATTGTCAAAATGTGTGTGCGCGCAGGTGTTTATGTGTGTCACACCTATGAAGCAATCTTCAACAGCAACACAAGTCAGACCACAAGTACTGCATTCTTCCAGTAGAGTCTGGCTATAGGACACACACACACACACACACACACACACACACACACACACACACACACACACACACACACACACACACACACACACAGGATCCCTAACCTGGCAATACTGCTCTCATGTCTGGTCCCCAGACTCAGGGGACCCTAAGGCCCCATGTCCTGTAGACTTCTCTCACGGCAGATATTTAAGCTTGAAATGACTGTGTAACATATAGATGAGCTACAGTGTGACAATTGTAATTACATTACTCATTGATAAAGTAATCACAGTACTTTAACAAGTATCTCAGTAGCAAAATTAGCCTAATGTGTTACATTACTCATTACTCAGCTCAGTCGTTGCATCTTTTGTATTTAACACATGTAGAAATAACAAGACATTGCAACCATACAGTTTGGAGGGATTTGCTTAGCATCCAGCAGTTAGCCCCCCCCCCCAACTCTAAAAGAGAGTTGACTCTTAAATGTAGCCTACAGGTACATGTGGCTAACACTCCCCACATCAGACACTCTTGCACCAATTACTGTAACCTACTGACTTTTTCATATTGTTCGGCCAAATATAACAACCAACCAACCTCTGCTGTTAGAGGTCACCATCATGTTTTTAGTGCATACGGTATGTGTGCTTCCCCATTGTAGTAGCCTATATACAAATGGCTATGGCTGTAGAAGTACATCAGCTGTCTGTGTCTGCGTCCGCCCTTGTACTATCAGGGCTGGACAGTCATAGCTCACAAGGACACTTGATGGAACTGAGCCAACGATAACAAAAAACCCAAGTTGGGAATATTGGGACTTTCTGACATTGACATCATCTCCCACTTGGTGAAAGAACTACACACGTAATGAAATCGCTAATGCAATCAACGCAGCTGTTTTTAACTGGTTTCACTTCCAAAACCCAAATATATTGAGTTTTGTGACACAGAAAACTACAGAACTTTTTTTTTCATATTTTCTTAACTCTCATCAATTATTAAAGTAAATGCCATTTATTTTTCTCTCGCTTGACTGATCAATTAACTGACTAATTGTTTCAGCTCTACAGGAATTAAATTATTCATAAGATATTTAGTACCGCTCTCATGTCTGTTCAGTAAATATGCAGTCACCAGTTGGTGAGTATAGCTTAGCATAAAGACTGGAAGAAAAAGCTAGTTTGACTCTGTGCAAAGGTAACAAAATGTATGCTATCAGCATCTCTTAAGCTTCATAATAATTAACGAAGCAGCATAATTATCCAAGAGGGAAACCCAGGAGTGGTCGCGGTGGAGGCCTTTTTTTGTTTTAATCTGTAGCAAATTTCCAGATTTTTTTTTTTTTCCTCATAACTTTACCACCATCCATTCCCAGTTCCTGTGCCATTGCACTTTTCATGAACAAAGTGTCTGTACACTTTTTAATCAATATGAGCCTCTCCAGTCTGAACTGACGGACTGTTTTAACTCTGTGTGAACATCCATATTGAATCGCATTGCTCCTCTTAAAATCAGGTCAAAGTCTACTCAACAGAAGCAGCCTTGGATAAACCACAATATTCACAGCTGTAAAACGGAGAGCAGGGAGGCAGAATGGAGATGGAAGAGGTCAGGTCTGAGTACATTATGACACTCTGAAGGAGTTATTACTTCACTACTGCAATAATATGGTTAAAATGTCAGGGCACTGATCTTATCGCTGCCCATCAGCATGACCCCAGATTTTTATTCAAGACTGTTGATCAGCTGGTAAATCTGACCGCTCCTTGTGCCCCTGCTGAAAGTGATGCTGACTGTGAGAAGTTGTTAGCCCACTGCCCAGGTAGAGTCCATTAGACCTTCTATTACACCTGATAGCACACTCTGTAATGTTTATCACTCACCTCAGTTCACACCTTAGCTCAGAAATAGTATAAAGTTTTTGAATCTAGTGGACCCTGTGAGTCCTTCATCTAATCTCAAACAGTTGTATCAAAACTGCTTGTGTTCAACCTTTTAAGAAATAAAAAATAAAACCTGGGCTGGAATGCTACCCTCACCCAGAGCTACAGACCAGTCTCCAAGCTTCCTTTCATGTCAAAAGTTTTAGAAAATAAGTGTCCCAGCATTTGGTTTTTGTAAGCATCACAGCTGAGACCTCCCTCCTCAGGGTGACTCAGTGGCTGCTGATGATGAGATGTGCTCAGTTCTTGTTCTTCTGGACGTTACTGCTGCCTTTGATATGTGTCGATCGCAGCCTTGTGTTAGACTGAGGCACTGGCACAGCTTTAAAGTCGCAGGTGTAGAGCTGCCGGAGCACACAAACCCTCTGCCACTTCTTCTCTACAAGTGAGGAAGTAGAATACTCACAGATCACGTAATCCAGTTTAAATTTGTTATACACTTTTTTAAGCAGTTGAAGATACAATCATCACTGTAGTGTATGTCATGCAAGAGAGCCATTAAAAACAAATTTAAATATCAAAGTTCTGATGTGATTGATTCACAATGTCAGTTCATGCACTGAGTAACATGACAGAAAAGATTCCACCTTAAAATGTGCAAGAAACTGCTGGTAGCCTTTGACTTTACACTTGAAATCAAAGTGAAATATTGATCCCAGACTAACTTCTGGGTCTGCACCCATTTACTTCAACTTAATCACACAGCCTTATGCTCCCTCTCGGCCACTGCGTTCCCTACAGGGAATGTTTTCCGGCATTGTCATCCCTGCACACAAGACAATCTCAGTCCAGACTGAAACTGTTCCCCGATGGTGGAACAATCTACCAAAGTCTATCAGAGCAGGGGCGTCCCTCTCTATCTTCAAGAATCTCTTGAAGACTCATTTCCTCTGAGAGTACCTCCTCTCCTGACACCTTGAACACGCTAACATGCCAAACTAGCATTTACTATGCACTTTTGGGGAACTTCTTTACCTGTTCTCCTTGCACTCATTGAATAAATGTACTACTTAGTACTTCCACAAAGGTCTCATACTGCACTGAAGTTTAGTGATGTCCCTCACTTGTAAGTCAGTTTGGATAAAAGTATCTGCCAAGTGAGTAAATGTAAATGTAAATTGATCTTAAGTTGATGTTTCATCAACTGTTATGATCGTATCTGTGCTTTACAAGCATTGGTTTGAAAGATACAGTCAAAACTGGAAGTATTTGGACGTTTCTCCACGGAGTTACCTGCTGGCAGCCGCTTTGGTTGCCATTGCCTACAGCCATTTGTGTCCAGTTTCATCATCCTGGTAGGTAGGTCTTCTCCCTCACATGTGCTGGATGCCTTCATCATGCTGTCAACTCGGCTCTGCAGCAGCTCGGTGAGAGAGTCGAACCACTACCTACAACTTGATCTTCGGTAACATCTCTGAATGACAGAGGGTAAGCTGAAACAATCCACCTGCCAATTTCACTAAGATGTTTCCACACAGAGGGTTACAATCTCCCCTACAAAGAAATGAATTGGTTCACGTCTTTCCCGTCCTGTCGGCTGCTCTGTGTTTCCGCGCGTCCTTGTACTCTCTGATGGTATTTTACTCTAGAGGATCTTTAAGCTGGAGTGCCAGTTGTTGTCCACTGGAGTGTGTCTCCTGTGAGTGGAGCTGTGGGTGCACTTGAGCTTGAGGTAGACAGCAGAGAGTTGGAATTTTCTGCATAGTGTTCACCTGGAGAGGGTACACAAAATTATATACAAGTACTGATTAAACACATTTTTTCATTCAGTATTGACCCTAATCATAATTAAAACATAATATTTCTACATCACACACAATATTGTTGATAGAGATTGGTGTTTTTTTTTAATTTTATGGGTAGAATGAAATATATCAAAGTAAAAGCAAGGATCTACCAGATAACAAGACAGGTTTTTAATAGATGGGGAAGCAGTTTCTTAGGGATGTGGGTTCGCTGCACATAAAACAATACAAGATATTTAGTTAGTCTATGTGTTAAAGGGTCTGCCAATCTATTTTAATATTTAGGTGGTTTGAGGTCCCTCTTGATTGCATTCAGACTTAAGATTGTGGTTTTAATCTCTGTAACGGTCATGTTATGTGTAGGAGGTTATGTGTGAACTGCAGAAACCATTGCTCCTCTTGAATATTTGAACCTGTTGTGTTGTAGGTTTCCTTCATAGAAAAGGGGCTTAGCAAGATTTCAATCTGTCACCTGCCCTCAACTCCAAACAATCATACCAGCAATGAGCCGTTTAGCTGCATGATGTGTTTAATGAAAGACAAATTTGGCCTTATACAGCTAATGGTGTAAGAAATCATATGAAAAAAGAGCTTGATAGTAAGAGCACTATATCAAGTAAAAGCATTAGCTAAAACTAAAGCGTAGTTATTGATTTTCCAATAGTTGTTATCTGTAAATGAAAAATATAACTTTGGTGAACTGACATTTTGGATATTCACTGTTTTTCCACACAATTACCTAAAACAGCAGCTAAATCAATCAAAGACAAGTTAAACAAAAAACAGCTCCTGCTCAAGTTTAAATATCTTAGTCGTGCCATCTTATTTTTGGGCTCTAGTAAATTTCATGTGATTTATAACCTTTGCTATCTTTAAATCATATAGTTAATGTGTTAAATTGTAAATGAATGTATCCATTGATTTATTTTAATATTAATATTAATGTCAAAAATACTCTGACAGACAGAAACTTTGCCAAAGACAGGAACAACTGATTTCTTTAAACTATTAACTCTAAATAATAATTAAATGAACAAACTAGTTACAATGGTAAAGGACACAGTTTGTGTACATTTATGAACTGTACCACCATCAATTTTGGACCAGTGAGTTTTACAAGAACATAATCTGCTGTAACACATCAGCTGAGGGGGAAAATAACATCTTGAACACAAGTCTAAAGCATCGTTTTTCTAATCTTAACACAAATAGGCTAACACAGGTGTAGTAAAATAAACATTGCCAACAAATGAGAAAAAACAAAACAAAATGATGTTGGCCCTAACTGTTGAATTGCTGACCCCCGCGTTAATTGTTGTGTAAAAAGTTATTTTCCTTTTATTTGACTCGACCTGTGGCTGGTGTTGGACATACCCTCTCATAAACTGTATTATTGCGCCCTCTTGTGGCAGATACTGGGAACTGCGTTTGTCTAACAACGTATAAGCCCCGCCCACCGGGGGGGTCACAGCGTTTGCGCATGACAATATTGTGTAAGTGTCCTGCCCTTCCTCCAGCCGACAGTAAGTATGTCCATGGCACCAGTCTGTACCCTCAAAATGTGCATTCAAATGAAGACCGAGACCCCGGAGTGACTGTGTGCGACAAGAAAAACAGTGTAACGTAACATTTTCATTCACCACTGTCTCCAGAAATGCCGACGTCTCCCGTGAAAACGCGGATCCCCCTCACCAGCTTCGGTCATCTGATAACAGAGGTGAAGGTAGGATGAGTGAATCACATCTGTTCAATTCATTTCTGTGGTTTATTTATTCATTTATTTTAGCAGACAATGAATTCTTTGCCTTTCCCTGTTTTAAATGTCATTGGAAACGTATGTAATGTAATGTGTTTGTTTTTTTTTAGCTACTGGTGTTTAAATAAGCTCTTATGAGCAGTTATGGAAAGTAACTAAGTACATTTACTCAGGTACAATTTTGAGGTACTTAGGCTAATGGCAAATGGCTGCGTGGTATACAATATTATGTCAAGAGTAAGGCCTATGATTTGTGCATTGTAAGCAAGGATACCAATAACAAGTCATTTTAAAGAAAAAGATGACAATAAGTTGTATTGGGGTTTTTTTTGACCACTTGGGGGCAGCAGAAACAAGCTGTGAACATTACATTGTCATCAGGTGAACTTTTTAGCAAAGAGTTACTCTTTTAGAAACCCAGCAATATTATCATTCTTTTGGAGTCGTGTTTCTGGCCACCTGAAAAAACCAAAGTTCAATGTTCACTCAGGTTTATCTCTGTTTTTAGTCTTTACTAGTAACTGAGGTGAGATTTTGACAAATATACACTGGGTTAACCACCTGACCACTGTTAGAGAGCAGCACACGAGAGCGGTGAGAGCAAATCAAACAGTAAGGTTTTGGGCTGGACAACTAAACAATGAGCTGAGATTCACTATAGAGCTCTGTAAAGCCAAGGGAAACTGCTGATGTGGGTGATATTTCTCTGTAGGTACAACAATACTAAAAAAATATTGATTATAGCTGCTTTAAGGTTACAAAACAGAACAAGAAAAGGTGTGAGGTAGCACCTTTTTGTAAGCAACAAAGCATTCACAGTGATGGCAGTTTTGTAGTTTTAACATCCATTTATAGCCTAGTTTGAAGGGAATAAGTGAGTTTTAATTTAAATATGACGCAGCATGGTTCTCCTTTTGTTCCCATTTGCATTTTATGAATCCTTACACTAATATTCTCTAGGAAGTACCTGAGATCAGAGCAATTAATGTCATCTGAAATATGAACCAAAGATCCCTTTCTGTCAAGTACAGCGTAGGTTTTACTATTTCAAATCGTCAAATCTTTTTTCTTTTTTGATTGTTTAATCTATTTAGCATTGTGACACATCATTGACTTAGTAACAACTACAGAGCAACATCATCCAGTGATCTCATCTGAGCCCCTCCACTGTAGTGACAGGTGTAGGCGTTACAGACCTGTAACGCAGGTATGTGATATGCTCATTAAGACATTTACAGCTTGTGACGCTGACAGCTGTAGAGCTGCCGAGCTAAAGTCACAACATCACGTCCAAGCCAGTGTCTGTTCCCTTTAGCTTCTGTAAATCAGTACAGTATGCTGGTTCAGAATGAGGTACGCATGCACAATGCTGGCAGAGATGCGGCGGCGGCAGAGACAACAAGCTGCAGTAAAGACGGACAGTTTCCAACAGATTTCACAGTCTGTACAGGAAGTCACAGAAACGCTCACATGTTGTGAGAACTGATCCCTTTTTAATAAAACGTTAGCAGACTAATCTGCTCAGCTTGTCCTCCAGTGATTGTTGTTTCAGATCTGCTCTCCTTCTCTACTTACGTCATCATAACTAAACTCACCAATACTCTCTGCTGAAGTCAGTTTTTCAGTTTTCTAGTTATAACATTTGCTGTCAAAAAACTTCCTCAGTGCGTTCTCTCTGTCCTGCTGTTATCTTATATGTCTGAGTTAGCCATGATCCTATACCGTGATGTTTAGCCCTCAATGGTTTACGGCTTATGGGAAATGGGGTTTGTTAAAAAGGCCGCTAAGAGATAGTGCTGCAAAATTTAATGAAAAAATCTTTTCTATTGGTACCTTTACAAGTCCTTGTACATACTCTCTGCCCTCAACACACTCACATCCCGACCTGCAGCCTGTATGCTGAATACCAAAGACGCCTATTCATGTACCACAGCGAGACAGTAGACTGTTAGCCTGTGGGTATTACTCCTGATTCCTGCTGTGCAATGTGTTGTGCAGCACATTGTGCTTCCAAAAACAATAGTATGTTTAAAGCAAATGCCTTTTTCAAGCTAGCATTTCAAACAGGTCCAACATGAAATCAGTTTCATTTTGAGAGAAACGAGATAGATGAGAAGATGAAACCACTCTCATGTTTATATGGTAAACACAAAGTTACAGCTAGGAGACAGTTAGCTTAGCATAAAGATGGAAGATAAAATCACAACTTGTCATGTTTATGCAAGCAAGGGAACAAAATTTGTCCAGGAGGTGCTCATAGGCAGATTTATTTTTGCCAAACAAGCTGTTTCCCTCTCGTTTCCAGTCTTTATGTCAAGTGAGAATGAGAGTAGGAACTCTCAGCAAGAAAGTGAAAAAAAAAAGTGTATTTCACAAAATTTCAAATTATTTGGTAACAGTTTCATATCTGCTCTCTGGTTTAAAACTTAGCATGAAAAAGGCACAAAAAAGTCAATTTCCCTGTCAGCGGTTCGGAAAAAAAGCCCAGCCTTGATGGATTTTTGTGGCAGTTGGAGAATTAAGATAATTTCATTAATAATCTCATCATATGCATTAAAAGAAATGGAAAAAAATTCAACCAAAGGGAATTACAGCTTGAAGCCTTTATCACACAGAAACGCTGTGGAGAGCTGGAGAAGAATGAGAGCTCTGTGCTGCCTGCAAGTCTGGATGATTTGCCTGACTTCCAGCTGATTCAGTTTAATCAAACGTGGAGAGTGTGTTGAATGTGACTTGATCGACCATAAAACACAATCCAGTGCTACCTTGTCATGCCAGTCAGCAGGCGAATTTCAACATGCAAAACAATTGAACAATTTTGTGGTTCAAGGTTCAACTGCCAAGGACAAATTGCTCAACTTCTTTGACATATATTTTTAAAATGTGGTTTGTACTTCATGTGCAGCATGTTCACATTGTTAGTAAAAGATAAAGGCAGCAGCAGCGGCTAAATTGATGTTATGTGATATTTAGAACACATGTTGAATGTGATGGTTTCACATTCAATTTGACAGGGCAGTGTGCTATGCATAACTTTCAAATGTGTGGATGGTTCATTGATGCTGCGTTTGGTTTTGCGGTTAATTGTTTTTATCTTTCAGTTTTTTATTTGGGTTTTTATTATTATTTTATTAACTATATTTTTCTTGCACATTGAGTTTGCATACAACAAAATGTGGTTCATAAATTACATAACTTTTTCTATAATTTCATGAAAAACTACACTTTGATATATTATGAAAAAATTATGTGTTCAGTGCTTCCTCTAATTGTGTGCCTATCTGTGTGGGGGTGTGGTTTTTTGTGTTGCAGAGACAGCTGTTTGGCATTGAGGCCCCAGCTTCTGTGGAACTGACTGGTTGGAGGAAATACTTTAATAGCTACACTCTGCAGGGGCGTCGAAATGTACATAACGCGCGCGCACACACACACACTCACACACACAGACAGTCTCCATTTAACATGAGCACTTCTAAAGTTTTTACATATCAAGTGCCCTCAGTTAGAAATGTGTCCCTCTTTGCTCTCTTCCAGTGTGTCTTGGCTACTTACGGGATCTTGGGTGTAACGGCAGCTGCCTACTTCATGCACAGACAAAACAAAAAAGAAACGTCCAGCTCCACGGCCTGAAAAAGATCAGAACTCTCACAGTGACATTTGTTCCTGTTCGTTAATAAAGACTATATAAATGCTCAATGCTGTCTGATCATTTCTCAGTGATATTATGAGAAGTCATGCTGGTTACCATGGCATCGTGGACTGTGTGCATGTGTTTGTGTGTGATTATTCATGTGCAGTTAAGTGTCCCCACAAAGTGCCCATCTGCTGCTAAGGAAACTGCAACCAAACCACTATTTTTTTTTTGTTTGTTTGACTTCTTGTATTTTTTGTTATTTTTCACCCATAGAGAAAAGTTTTTGTAAGACTGTAGCATGTTACAGAGCTGATCTGCAAATCATACTGTAAAATGATCAGAAACCCAGCAACACACTGCATTGTTTTCAATTTTTAAAGTTTGAATAATTCACAAGTGCAACAAAGGTCATTGCCTGAGCTTGTGAACATAGCTGCATTCATTGTCTTTCATGTAATATAAGTCGTCCTGTTATTCCCCAGCCTAGTGGAAACCTCTCCCGAAAAACCCAGGGTATGGACATAGGCAAAATGAACGAAACTAAATTCATCAACCTAAAACTATACCCAAAACTAAAATTAAACCAAAAGAACAAGGCTAAAATTTTCAAACAAAATTCAAAACAATAATTATTGAGCTAAAACTTCTCAATTCAAAAGTCAAATGCACAAAAAGTTCTTTAATCTTGCTCCTTGAATTTACTTTGCGTGTAACCATGTGTCATGGTTCTTTCTAGTACTTCTGTTGGGTTTCCAGGAACATGCAACTATGGAGCATGATACCAGGGAGTTTGTGGCCACATGTCCTGTCTGTTCCCAGAATAAGATCTACTGCATCCCCACCCAATTCCACATCTCCTTGGACTTGTCACCTTCTCTGCCTTCTCTTGTCTGATGGTAACTCAGTCATCCTTACTGTAGTTGATCAGTTTTCCAGGTTCATTTCATTCCCCTGCCCAAGTTACCCACTGCCAAAGAAACCGCAGAGATCGTGTCACAACATGTTTTCTGACTTCATGGACTCCCCAAGGCTTGAAAGTAGTTTTGCAGTCTGTTGGATGACAGGGTCAGTCCCTCCTCTGGATTTCACCTGCAATCCAATGGCACCAGATGGAGCAGGAGAAACCAGGAGATGGAGACGGCATTGCTGTGCACCACAGCTGACTCTCCTTTGTCTTGATCCAAGCAGCTTCTTTGGATAGAGTAAGGCCACAACACCCTGCCCAGTTCAGCCACAGGGTTATCTCCTTTTCAGCGTGCACATGGTTTTCAATGTCCTTTGAGTTCCCACAGTCCAGGCTTTTATCAGGTGTTGTTGATGCCTGCGTCTGCCAGCTAGGACTGCCCTCCACCAAAATTCAGACAGACACCGTTGCAGAAGGGCAACCAACCATGCTCAGCAGCTTGATCCTGCTCTCCGGGGAAAAGGGTGTGGCCAGCCACCAGGAATTTGTCCTTGAGGCTGCTGAACATGGTCCCCGCCAGAAACATCACGGTCCTTGACCTCATCATTCAGTGCAGTCAGACCCATTGTGATTAGCCTGGTGGGATCTTGGGAACCATCTCATGAGAGGAATGGGGGCGGGGTGTGGGGGGCGCTTGTATTTCTGCTAGTAGTCTGTTTTCACTGTCACTAACACCCATGTTATTTCACACCACAGCCCCTCCACACACTTGTTCCCATTTACCTTACCTTATCATCCCCTCTGTACATATACCTCCCTGCTCCCACACAAATTTCATGCTTCATCTTCATGCTCATTACAAAGTTCTTACATTAATTAGATTTTTTCTAACTTGCTGACTGCTTGTCTACGGTTCTTCCTGCCTTCCCTTTGTACCACTGCCAGCATGATATGTTCACGTTGTATTGAACAGTCCAGTAAAAACTCTTTACTTCTGCTTATATATGCGCGCCACACACACACACACACACACACACACACACACACACACACACACACACACACACATACACACACACACACACACACACACACACACACAATGTTCAGATCCTCCTGCACTTTTCTTTTGCTTTCACTTCAGCCCGCCGCCGATTCCCTTAAATCACGTGATCTGCCAGCAATGTGTGTGTATTTTTTTGTGGTTGTGTGTGTGTGTGTGTGTGTGTGTGTGTGTGTGTGTGTGTGTGTGTGTGTGTGTGTGTGCGTGCGTGTGAGCTCTTGAGGAGCATGCGCAGGATAAGGTTTATTGAAAAACTAGTGTCAATAACTTTAATACTGTTAGAACAGGCTGTTTGAAAGAGAGCCCCGCCTCCTGCTCACATTAACTTAAACCGAAAGTAAAATGATACCCCTCAGTCTGACTAGCGACTTTGTGTAGCACAGAAACTGACTGAAGCTCACTGCTGTGTGCACTCACCAAGCCTCTGACACTTATTATTGCAGGTATGTACGCTTTGTTTAATGCATTATTAATCGGCGTGATTACGAGGTTTTTTTTTGCGTTAACTTGTGCGCCAGTATTGAAAACTCGTATTCCCTGATTCATCCAGAAACGTGCAATTTCCCTCTTAACTGGGACTCGTCAGTGTGTAACTGTTAGTATAACAGACAAATGTTAATTTCCGTTAGGTGTGGAAAGACGTGTAACCTTGTAACCTTTCCCAGTTATATCAGCTCATATTTTTGGACCAATCCCAGTATCATTCGCTTTTATATTAAATATACCTAAATAAGAAACCATAATATGTGAATATGACTTACAATATAACAATATGCTTCTTGAATGACAGATTAATCCATGGGGATGATTGCCCCAATTTTTTTAACAGTTTTGTAGTATTTCTTCTGTGGTGTTCTCTAACGTTGCCGAACAGTTTTGCAGTTCTGGCATTGCACTCCATCAGTGTTTGGACATTGTAGGCCTACTGTTGTTTTTGAACTCCAGCACACAAATTAAATAATCACTGTGAGGAATCACAGCCGGGCTGCACTGCTCAAAAACCGGGTAAAAATGGAATTACACTATTCGCCCAGTGTGGATGTGAAAATCTTCAAACAGAAAGTTCAACCTCATCGTCATTGTTTCGTTTCAGATCTACTGATAATGGTAGTAATAAAAATTTAATTTTTAATTTTTTTTTTAAATGAGTAACAGTAGATCCCATATTATAGCACTGACAGACTGCACTGTGAAGGTGATAATGTGAGCTGAGAGAGAGACACTGTAAACTAAAAATTACAATTGAACACAGTCTTATATGGTTTGGGTTGAGATTGGTAAAGTAAAATGTTAAATGTTTGGTGAAGCTACACTAAAATATATACATATCTTAACAAGGGCTCAAGATTACAACCAAGTGTGATATTTACATGTATCATCACAATTTGAGCAAGAAGTTAAAGCAAAAAGTTAAAAAATAAAAAACACATTAAATATGTTTGTTTTTAGGAAAGACCAAAAGAAAGCAGCCTGTCTTTTCATAACTGGGCTGGTACTTGTATAAACAAGCAGTATAATCTCAGTAATAATATATTCAATATAAGAAAGATTTATAGAACACTTCTCTAAACAGAAGTTGTAAGGAAATTTAAAACATAAGTGCCACAGAAAATGAAAACCTGATAGACCACTTGACTTTTCTTGACTGAGAAAGTGAAAGTGTTATTTTGTCATCCTATTTATGTTACATCCGCCTTTCCCAGCGATTAGTGATGTTTATGGTCAGTCACATGACGTCAGATTTTGCATAGAGATTGGGCTACATGTGTTGCAACAGCAATTGTAAGTGACGAGTGTATTCATATAATTGCAATGTATCAAATCACAATGTGAACGTGGTCGCTTGTGTTGATGAGCAGAGACTTGTCACCTGAATCTGCAGCTTCCCTCACCTTACCATGAGTACTACTAAATAGATAATAAGAAAAATCAGTTAATTCAGTCAATAATTTTTCCGGTAAAATGTGATCGGTATTTTTCACAGTTTTCTGATGTTTTATAGACAAATGAATAATTGATTAATCAAGAAAGTAATTGGCATATTAATCTGCATTACTCAGGGAGGTGCCTCACTTTTTTGCTGTTTTTATGTAATGACCAGATAATTGAATAATTATTAGTTGCAGCCCTAGTTCATTGTTTATGCTGTCTGCTCTGCAACTTGACTGTTTCAGTTTACTCATACCATACCGTCATTTTTGGCTGCAGCAGACAGCTGTTCAGTGTACGCTACGTGCTCAGCACCAAACAGACAAAGAGACTACAAGTGGCGGCTGTGGCTCAGGGCTGTCCACTAACCAGAAGGTCAGTGGTTTTGTTTCCCAGCTCCCGCAGTGTGAATGTTGAAGATGGTGATCTTCAAGATACTGAAGCTCAAAATTTCCCCTGATGTATCAGGGTGTGTGAGGGTGTGTCTGGTAGAAAAGATGCTGTATGTTAAGGAAAAAGCATGTGTCTGTGAATGGGTGTACAAAAAACCATTTGAGTGTACAATAAGACTAGAAAAGTGCTATTAAGTGCAGTTCGTTCACCTAGTGAAACATAGTGGAGCATTTAGCAGCTAAGAGCCAGATAGTGGGCTGGACAAGAGTGAATACATAACTTACAGAAACACGACTCCAAATGAACGAGAATGTTGTTCCATAACTGCTGCATGTGTGAGAAAGCAGCTGTTTGCTGACAAGTTCAACATAACAACTTAAAAAGCTATTGCAGGTTTAAGTTGAAATGCACTTCAGTGGAATAAAAGGTTTTTCTGATTTTCTGTGTTCACTTTTCTGTGTTTCAGCTTAAGAACAAATGAGCAGATTCAGCCTCCGCTCTCCTCCAGCACTTTGTGGTAATGCTGATCAATCTTGATTAAAGACGTTTAAACAAATGGAGTCTCAAAGAAGACTGAGCGGCAGATGACTAAACGGAAAAGGGTCAGTGATGGAGGATCTGCCGCTGAAAAGTGGAGGAAATGGTGCAACAGGCGGGCAAGAAGAGGATTCTCCTTTGTAGGATGGTCAGAGAAAATCTTGAGAAAACAGGAGTACAGAGCCGACAACAAAACATCACAGCTGAGACACCGAGCCAAAATCAACCCCTCGAAG